GTGTTATTCAACAGCGTACACGCCTCCAAAGGGGTTCTGTTCGAATAGCCAAGCCTACGATTTATAATGTTTTGTGCGACAGGAGAGTAAGGAAATTGTTCGACACGCTTTAACACCCTCCTTCCATTTGATTTTGTTTTTTCGTCAACTACCATTGTGTTCGATAGAAATATGAAACATCAATCAAGTAACGTGACTAGAATCGTAGTGTTTTAACGCAGTCCCGACCCAGGGGCGTCGCTAGACCTTTTTCAGTGGGGGGGGGGGGGGGGGGGGGGGGGGTGTAGGCCAACGATTACCGACAAAACTAGCCACCAATTACCGACAAAATTAAATGTCCAATATCTACAAATTCAACCCTATAAACCTGGGGCCGAAGGCTAAATTGTTTTTCAATTTAGTCAGCATCATAGCTATATATTTTAATGTAGGCTTATTCAAAAAGGGTGTGACCCCCATTCTGATAATTAAATTCTTTAGGATCTTATTTTAGGGAGGAGCGGTAGTGAGCAAGAGAATCACTTAAAAGCGCGCTCATTAGGGGGATGTGGGTGATGGGCCTTTCGCGCGAAGCGCGTAAGCTTAGACGTGTAACCCGAATGTCACAATTTCCCAGGCCATAAATAAAGAAATTACACTTGAGGTTACGTTTTAACAAAATAACCTGGCAATGCCTTTATTAGCTCGTTGTCAATAACAACTGCAAATCAAGTAAACATTGAAATAAACAAAACTTCCACAACTTACAACTATAACATTATAAGGTATTATAACTTATAACTAAACCGACTATTATCTAAATATTAAAGTAACCAAATTATTAAATGTTCATGAACTCGCTCGCGATACGCGGTTGATCAATATATCCGGCGACTCTTTGTCGTTGAAGAGGACGTCGCAGCACGCAGAACACAGGAACAAGTTGAACGATAGCTTGAAGCTTGATGAATTTCATCAATTAAAAGACCCTAGTAAAAGATCCGCCTAGTAAAAGAGCATAATAAACAGAACTCTTCTAATAAAACATTCCTTAACAGAGGGAAAGATAAATATAAATATATATATATATATATATATATATAACAAGCTCGTCCCTCGATAGATTAAATTAAGAAAAGAATGAGAGTTTGCCTCTTGATTTATCTAATTAACTTTGGAAGAATCAATGCGATTCTGTCAACTTAATTTACTCAGTTATACTTATAACTTAGTTTAATTCACGATTAACACGATACAATCCTTTTCAAAATAGTACTTATCCCACGTTAGTAAATATAAATAAAATACGTATACATCACAATAATTGCATGCAATGAAGAAAGCATAATGCACCAACTGTTCAGTAGAGTTTTCATTCATATCATTATGAGCTATAATGAATGCGATAGGGATGCCACAGATAGATAGCTCGATCTATCTGATTGACCTGACCATATCGCTTGATTTAGAATTTGCCAAAATAACATTTGACTTTTACAATTAATGGAAAAGTCCAGCAATTGAATATGCAAAATAATGCTCCACGCTGCGCATAACCATAATGAACAGCAAATACACATTACCAGTACATCAGTAGATAAGGTTAGTAAATATTATCTACAACCAAGTATCTCAAACCACCAAATTTAGTGAGAGTTCAATGACCTCTAGCACGAGTTGCCATTACCCTAAATAAAAGCCAATTATCTTTCAGCATGGGCTATTTTAGGGCTCGCATGCTATGCAGTATAATAACTGCAAAATAATCTCCCATAATAATCTTTTCTTCTCATTTAACTGAATTGTTTGATCAGCAGAAAGAATCAATCTTGTATAACACACATCTGAATAAAAAAGTTATAGAATGTATGCTACAGTCTCAAACTACACTCAGAGTCATACAAGCAAAATATAGATATCATCATGATATACACACACTTCATACAACAGAGTAATGAAAACATACATAGCAAAATATAGTGTTCTTACCTAGTAAAAGAGCCAACACTTGCTTGCAACATAAAATCAGGAACTGGGATGATAACCATGCAACTCATAAAGGTCGAAGTTGGATGGCATGCCCAATCAAATATAATACAGGAAACTCTCTCAAAACTTAGAGAAACTTGAAGAAGGTAAAGTTGATATATACGTTTTGTATATATATATATATATATATATATATATATATATTTTGAAGAAGAAAATCAGGTAGAGGCTACAGATATATTTAGTAGCACATGCTCCAACATGGAGATTGAATATATACAGGGCAGTGTTCGAAGCAATGGCAGCTGGGCAGAGAATGAGCTGGAAACTTAAAGTTTCAAAGTTTTATTAAACTGTCCAGACCCACATTACCCTTCCTTCCAACTAGACTTCTTATTGGTTACCTAACATCATGTGATGGGACCAAGCTTGCATCCTTAACTAAAATGACTCATCCTTTGTCTCAAACCCAATACTCCAAGCCAGCTCTCTACAGCATGGTCTTAAAGCTCACCTTTTCTTAGTACAACCACTTTAAACTATACTTCTCCTGAATACAGAGATTAACAGTAGCAACATCCTGAAGGGACACAATCTACCTGCAAACCCCACTTAAGTAAAGAGGGTCCTATTAAAGGGAATAGACAAAGGGGAAAGGGCACCGAATTCTGTGGGAGACAATATAATCCCAAACACTGTGTCCAGTGTTATTGATGGTCAAAGCTCTAGCAAATAAGCTATCTACCAGCAAGAGTTCTTAAACTGGGAGAAGAAAATAATCTGGGTGAGAACAAACCTATATTGCACTAAACTGCATAAGGAGCACAAAGCAGAGTTTGTTTCTTAGAAGTATGTGATGAAATGAATGTATACAAAGAGAGAGAGAGAGAGAGAGAGATAAGAGAGAGAAAGAGAGAGAGAGAGAGAGAGAGATAGAGAGAGATAGAGATAGAGATAGGAAAAGAATAATTAACAAAATATGATTTTAGTAACTGCCATTTTTATGGGGGTTACAGACGTTTCCTTAAATTATTAGAAAAAGAAGACGAGTAATTGTACCGTTTTCGACTGTTAATCCTTGGCTGAATGAAGTTTTCCCTCCCCCCCCTCCCGCGCGAAGCGCGAAAGCTTTGACCTTTCATTAAATTATAATAAAAAAGAAAGCTTTGACCTTTCATTAAATTATAATAAAAAAGAAGACGATTCGCTGTACCGTTCTCGACTGTTTATCCTTGTCTGAATCCAGCCCCCCCCCCCTCCCGCGCGAAGCGCGGAAGCTTTGACGTTTCATTAAATTATGAGAAAAAGCAGGCGATTCGGTGTACTGTTCTCGACTCTTAATCCTTGTCTGTATTCAGTTTCTCCCCCTCCCGCGCGAAGCGCGGAAGCTTTGACGTTTCATTCAATTATGAGAAAAAGCAGACGATTCGGTGTACTGTCCTCGACTCTTAATCCTTATCTGAATGAAGCTTCCCCCTCCCGCGCGAAGCGCGGAAGCTTTGACGTTTCAATAAATTATTAGAGAAAGAAGATGATTCGTCGTACCGTTTTTGACTCTTAATTAGCCCTATTCATTTGAATTCAGTTTTCCCCTGTCGCGCGAAGCGCGAAAGCTTCGAAGTTTCCTCATATTATTAGAGAAAGAACACGATTCGTTGTACCGTTTTCGACTCTAAATAAGCCCTATTAATTTTATCTGAATTAAGTTTTCCCCTCTCGCGCGAAGCGCGGAAGCTTTGACGTTCCCTTAAATTATTAGAGCGAGAAGACAATTCGTTGTAGCGATCTCGACTAGTCTAAATGAAGTTTTCTCCTCCGGCGCGAAGCGCGGACTTTTCGGCGTTTCATCACAATATACGGAAAGGAAGACGATTCCTCGTACCGTTTTCGAATCTTATTAAAGGTATAGATATCTAGTTGAGTATTGGTAATTTCCAAAGTGCCCCTCCAAAACAAATTTGGTTTATTTCAGTACCATATGAAAGATCATCGAAAAAAACATGGGAGATGATAATAATTCCAAATCAAATGCTCTAATTGTTGTGCAATTTGCTTTCAAAAAATTATATAAAAGTGTTTGACGTCCGGACATCACTTTTGACTTTCGACGGTTTATTTTTTGAATTTACGTGTTTAGCTCCCTCTATGTCATTTAACAACCAGCGTATTTACAACGAGTGTTTGAGTTCGTTGGTACGTACAGTACTACAGGGGCCCGTTCCTACAAACCGTCATAAGTCTAACTTCTTGACTAAATCAGCGTTAGTGAACAACTTGTCCGCTACGTGTTTCACCAAGCCCTCTTTGCCAAGATCAACGGCAACATCCTGACTAAGGAGTTATGACACCTCTGACACCGTCGTATCTCTGTCATAACTATTTAGTCGATGGGCAGCGCCATCACATGTCATTTATTGGGTAGACTATGGCTGGCAAAAAAGGACAATAAATCCTCCAACTATGATTTTTCTACACATTCACTTAAACAGTGAATTATCGTTTTTTGTATTTGATAATCTAATGAAAATATGCCATGTTTGTATTTAAGGATTTTCCCACTTAAATAAACTCATTATACGCCTTTATTTCCACATTGTAAACTCGTCGAAGGGATATGTATTTTGCCACGGCAGGCAAGCCATAGTTTGAAGTGTATTCTTTAGTTTTCAGACCCATATTAATTTAGAGATGAATTTTATTTTCAATTATGCAAAGTGAATGGTTTAAACATATGTTTTAACGTTTGAAATATTGAAGTTTTGTAATTTTTATATTGTGCTGACGCCAAAAACATTGAACACAAATTTTATTACATCGTATTTTTTCAAAGAATAATATAAGGGTGTATTTTTATAAACTATCAAATGAAAATATTCGGGGGGTGCCCATCTCAACAACAAAACTGATTCACTGCTGGTCATGTAATGAAAAACTCACAATTATATTTTACAAGTACTTCAATTGTTTAATCTACACAAATTTGGAAGTATATTGGATCTCTTATTTCTTGGTATCCTTTTTAATCTTTTTTATTTCTAATTCATTTAAATAATTGCATTTTCCCTAATATTAATTTTGTAATAATCTGGTGGTATTGCGACTAAGGCTAATTCTCGGCTCCTCTTCTCGCCGATAATATCGATCTCACGAGATACTAGCTAGTAAGCTCTTCGTGAAACGGTTTAGGAAGATCAGAGACATCTCCGTAGTTGGCGGATAAAGTTATGACTGTCTTGTCGTTGGTTTCTAGGAACGAGCCCCAGGTAGCTAGCAGGCGGGTATCCGACCGCGCGCTAGTAATACAGTACAGCTGATCAATTCCAATACGCTGCTTTCACGTAAAGTATAACACACAGAGCTCATATCAGATTATCACCGGCGCCGATCGAACGCTAAATAGACAGCTACAGTCCAGACAAGCTTTGATTGAAATACGATAACGAGATCGAGATTGGAAAAGGAGCTCGAGGTCACGGACGATGGCCGACTCGGACTCAGCTAGTGCTAAGCCTAAGGACAAGGCTAAGGCTACGCTAAATCGGAATAAGACTAAGTAAGACGGTAAGAGGAAGGAGAGAAACAAGCAATGGCAGCTCGACCATCCGGCCCAGAGGAGGCGCGGGAGTGGCTGTGAACAAGGCCAGGGTACGGCGGAGAAACTTCGCGAGCTGCAGGCGGCCTTCTCGTTGCCGAGTCTAGAGGATGCAATAGACATGCCAGCTCACTGAGAGGTAAGTTGAAATGATATACGCCCCACTGCATTGGGTAGGCCTACCGTTTTAATTTGATCTAGTCTAGAGACTAGATGCATGGAATCGGCAAATTTAAGAAATTACGTTTTGTTATCTCTTGCCTTGGATTTTTAATTCAGATTTCATGAATCATATGATATTGATAGTCTAGCCTAGATCTAGGTGACAGGTCTACAGTAGACCGAAAGCTTCAGTCTCTATATCGTCGGTTGTTCCACTGAGACTACGTCTGGCTCCACTAGACCTCCGGATGAATTTGGTTCAAATGAAAATATTGGAAGCATAGATCTATGCGATCCTACAATATTCAGTGAATGTTGTCGCGTTGAAATCGAGTCTAAAGTGATGAAATTGTAAATAATAATCTCTTTATGGGGTATACTATAACTCTCTCTCAAGGTCAATATATTAATTCAGCTATACAACAAGCTACAATTGACCGATTGGCTATTACCTTTTTGAAATTATATATCACAACTACATATTCCGGGATTTTTATGGTAGCAGCTACCGTTGTACGACCGTAGGCGCTATTTTAAATTTATCAAAATTTACCGGGAGCACCGGTAAATTTTTATATTCAATTTTTTTCGAAAGCAGAAGTGTTTTAGGAGCTAAATTTTCTAGTGCTTATAATACTTCCACAGGGGCATCCAAATATATCAAAATTGTAAAGAATCACTATCCACCCAATTTTCAAAATTTCCTAAAACTTTGTAATAGACCCTACCTTTAATGTCCCTCGTTACAACTGCAGTTTTCTTTGTAATGATGACGTGCAGGGCTAGTCAACCGGGTAAACATCCTGCTCTTTTTAAAAGTCGACAAGGTTATACTATAGCTTGCTTGAGATGTGACTGTCTCATCTATATTTATCTCTACCAAAGAGTGTCTCAACTTCACATACATGACAGAGAACCAATGCGTCAGTTATTAGTCATGCAAATTCCAAATCTGGCTAGCTGTGATAATTATTAGAGAATGCCATCTTCAAAATAATTTCTTTTGGTGATTTAAAATCTGAATGTTTTTTACTTTGTGAATGACTTTCGTTTCTTCACTTTTTACAGATATGAAGAACAGACAACACAATCCATCCCCAGCGAAGAAATTCCAAGCAGCAGTAGGGGAATTAGCAGGTGAATAGTACAAGTCACCTTTGACCGCAAATTCATGGAGAACTTGGCCTACTCTGCTGATTTGCTCGCTTCAGGTAGGATTCTGTATACATGTACGAAAGGCTCTGTAAATTGAGAGGAATTTAATGAGAATGCGTTCATTACGTACATGTTTGCAAGATTGAGCTCTTTTTCGGTTATGACCTATAAAATTGGGACATATCAGCAGGTCAAGATAATGCATCTTATTTGCTCATGTGTATGACATGGGATTTTCAATATTGATTTTGTGGTATGAAAATAATGAAATGCCCTATCATTTATATCAGTTTTTATTTTGTTTTCATAATTCCTTAGGCACACCAGCATGCTCGAGTGTTTCCACAACCATATACTGATGTATGCTTCCAAGCGGTATTCCTTTGAGTAAGTATTTTTAGTATCATTTTGTATGTTTGAAGTAAGATTGTGGAAAAGTTGAAACATATCATTACAGTACGGTTACAGTTACAATATCATATTTTGAAGCAAATAGCAAAGTTAATGAGAAATTATGAATGACATCTATATAAATGCTGAAATCACTTTTGGATGCATGCAGAGTCTTGAAACAGCAGACTTTGTATCGTACTTGTGTCGGTACCTGATGTTAAGTCAAGTTGGAGTGGTTGTAGCAGGGAAATGTAACTACCTTTAATTAAAAGTCAATAATTTACAACACAAATCCAGAACTGAAGTGAATGGCTCGTATTCACAAAGGAGGTTTGTACAAACCATGGTTTGGCCAAGGTTTACATCTATGGAATGCCATTTGTAAACTGATGGAGAAGGAATGTAAACTCCATACTTGTTAACAATGTTAATTTACAATTTACGGTATGCGAGCAGCATTCCATAGATGTAAACCATCGTCAAACCATGGTTTGTACAAACCTCCTACAAACCTCCTTTGTGACTACGGGCCAATGAGTCTGAGATTTGTCTAAAGCATTTACTATTCATTCATCATGGTAGTGGTAATACCAATTGTTTGTCTTATCCATCCAGCTACCCAGCAAACCGGGCAAGGAATTTGCTTGCGGTCATCGACTACATGGCACACAAGGACAGGCCGGACCAGATTGATGAACAAGGCAATACAAAGTGAGTGGAAATTAGAAAGAAAGAAAAAAAGGTTTTCTTTTCTTTCTTGTTTTTCCTATTTTTATTTGTACATTTTTTTTTAGATGGACAAGGCAATCCAAAGTGGGTGGAGTAAAAAAAAAAAACATGATTTTTTGTTTTCCCTGTGTAGTTGGACAGGGCAATCCGAATTGGCAGTTCTTTCCCATGAAATTTATCAATTTTGGGGAAATTATTAAATATCTAATTGTCCTTCCTGGGAACGCCCCTTTTAAATCGCCAAAATATGACGTCATCTAAAGAAGTTGTCCCTGTACACGACGCACATCTAAATTATGTAGATGACGGACTGTAAGCTGATGGTTTGTCAATCATGCTGCTGATTTTGGACCCTAAATGCGGACTTGGATTCAGTGTAATAATATACTTGGTGTGTAATGCAAGGTTCTGGAGTCATCAAAATCATCATAAATTTGGCAGAGTTTTGGTAAAGTATAACAATCACTTACACAGAAAGATGTATATGGGACAACACACATGGTGTCGGCCTGTCGGGGCTAGTACTACCCTGATTTCCTTATCTTTCTATGCTCATTACTCAGCCAGTATACATTTTCTTCCAAAATTGTTTGGCACATGACATTTATTTGTAATCTTGAACATTCAGTGTAAGTTTCGTTAGATTCTGTGAGAATTCATTTTCTTTTTTTACCAGAACTCAAGTTTATCTTTAAGAGATATGAATCATTTCCAATTGACAAGAATGAGTGTGCATATAATGCAACTTGTTACATTTTGCATGTTCTTTTATTTTATGATACAGATATGTTGCAGTATGGTCAAAGCGTGCCAACAACTACGTGGCCCGGAAGGAGAAGGTCCCCAAGACCTACCCCTACATGTATGTACAAGGACTCATCGGTGCGATACTGGAACGCAGAGAACAGGACCAAGGACCACTGTTCTCGAAGGCTGTTCTGCTCCCTGATGACCCTAGACACACAAGGCCCCGGCTTGCACCATTTCCTCCACCACAAGTTGATGTGATCCTAGCCAGGAGACTAGGCCGATTAGAGAAATCCATGTAATCCTCTGTAGTGAACATTTGGGATTGTCTGACTTGAGAACTGCTTTTTTTCGAGCAGAGACTAAGGGATCCAAATGGCATCCTTCCGTCCATCCTCCGTGACTGTACACAAATTTGAATGAAGTCTAATGTGAAATCTTACCTGCAAAAATCAATTAGGGTTGCTAACTTTCCAACCCTGCATCTGTTTGTAACCATACTTGATTGGTAGATGCCCTTTATTGGCCTCCATGATATTCTGGAGTTGAAGGTCACATAAGTAGGTCAAAGGTCAAATGAGGTTCATTGTTGCATGATTGCATGCAAGACTCTTAATCGCCTCGATTTAATTTGTCCATGTGGCATGTTTTTAGGCTATCTTGAGGATTGGTTGGAACTTAACATTTTGTGGTCCGGAGGTAAAAGATTGCATGGCTTAGCATTACGAGCATGTATTCTTGATATGTCAGAGACCCTTTGACAAAATACCACCAAACTTGATACTAGAGTGTCCCTGGGGATCATGGGGATGTGGTTATCTGGAGAAAAAAAATCACATAACACATGATATACATGTACCAGAAATAAATTGTTATTGTTGCTAGATTAGCCACCATGCTTGGCACTTGTATATTGTATTACAATAAGAGGTTGGCAAGTTTACAAATGGAAGAAATGTAGGAATATAAAAGACAAATTGTGACATCAGTGTATAAAAGCTCTATGTGATTTATACAATTCATAATTTGTGATAAAATCAGTGCTTGCTCATGTGGAAATGGTGGATATTTCAATTTGTATCTATTTGGCAACCTATATTCCTTGAAGAAGTTACGGTAGTAATTATAAAATTTACAGCCAAGAGGTCAAACCATGAGTCAACAATGTGTTTGGTTTTAGTGACTGTGCATGTAACTGAGGTGACAGTCGATCATGAAAAAGACTATACTTCGGAACCTGTTGAAAATCAACATGGACAGAAGAAAGATTTGTAGAATATCTTATTGTAAATAGTCTTCATTTTTTGTTTAATGCAATCAATGTGACTAAAATAATGCAAGCGAAAAAGAGAAATGATCACAAGACAGCAAAACAGTTGGTTTCATGCATCATTTGAATCAATGAACGTGAATCAGCTCAACGCCAAAGTATTGCGGTTCAAGGTTATACCATCAAGAGATATGCTGCCTGTAACTACTTTGTAGTTTGAAAGGGTGTATAAAGGAATAAGGATACAGTTGGGCAGGCGAGTCTTTCTGTTGGTCTATTGTAAAAAACTGGGTCAAATTTTTTCCAATTTTTTTGCAAATTGTAATAAAACTTGGTATACCGATTGACCCGAGGGTGTGCAAGACACATTTGTTGTGTCTGTCTGTTAAGGTACCTCCATGGTAACCAAGCTTTGCACAAAGAATACAATTTTGTTTTAATAATCTTGTGGAGCATATTCTTTCCAAGTTTTAGCAATTTTATAGTTTTGGTATCTTTGATGAGGCATTATAATAACAGTATAAAACTCAATGCATGTGCAGTGTGTAAAATAAGTATGTGAGCAAACTATTGGAAGTAGTTTGATCGATTCATATGAAACTCAGTACACACAACGCAGAATTGTCTTTTGTGTGCGTATAGGACATGACCAGTTTTGAAATGTCTGTGCTATTTTTTTGAAAAACCTTATGTTGGATGTTAATCACTTGAGGTGATATTCATAGTCGAGCATTAGGGAAGATGAAAGACATATATGTACCTAACTATACTTAATTTTGTGCTGAAACTGATATGATTCAGGATTTGAGATCGATATGGAGTATGTATACATGTATACTCGTACACATTAAGGAAAAGAATCACTCAGACAATTTTTAAAGCATTTATATATAAAGTAAGATGTGAAACTTAAAAGATAAAACCAGTTATGGTCATGCGACTGCATTGCGAAAGGATTGTTGTGGAATCGATCAGAAAAGGTTGATCATCTAGCATATAAGTCTTGGTGTGTACTGCAAGGTTCTAGAATCATCGAAATGATAAAAAAATTGGCCCAGTCTTGGTAAAGTTACAAGCACTGTACACAGAAAGATGTATATGGGACTACGCACAAGTGCGCGACACATGCGTTATATCTATCAAGTCCAAATAGATATAATAATTTACCAAATATATCAATTAGTAGGCAGTTTCTCGGCAAAATTTGTATGATCACGTACTAGTCAAAACATTGTGTGCGGGCAAGCACTGAATCAAATGACCGGGGTAATAGTATATTTGTCAAGCGCGTAGAAACATTACTGTTATAGATACTTTTCTTTGGTAAACTTATCTACACATTGCCTATAGAGTATGTCAAGTTTTTATGAAAGACACAAGATAAGATGTATATAAATAAGCAGTAACTAATAAGTAACAAGACATGGTGGTATACAAATAAAGTATATTGCTCCTTCTTAATGACGACGGTTAAAGTTGTCATAGCGATAGATGCTAAATAAAAATGTGCCTTTTTTAATACACATGATCTGTTTGTATGCAATGGTTGAAATCAACATCACGTTTAAATATTGCCTTCAGTTCAGCAATTATAATTTGTATTCATCTCAATAATGTTGTGTAAATTTAACTGTTAGTTATGGCCGAATAAAGCTTTCAATGTACACCATAAAAATATGTTATGTATCTTCATTTTAGCATTACTATAATTATATTAAAATCTTATGTCTTTACACATTTACAAGTTATCACGTACTGACGTAGGTCATGCAATACACAGGCACTGTAGAACACAACTTATTTACAAGAAGTTACAATCACTTTTTTTTTTAAACTTTACAATTGCATGCAGTACCAAAATAAGAATACTGAAAAACACTGCATTATGGACAAGTATGAATCAAGTAAGATGTTAAATTAATTCACTACTGTTATTCATTATAGTATACTGATACAACAATTTTTAATATTTTTTTTAATTTATTTCTTTTTATTTCTCCACTTTCCCTTTAGCCATGTACCTTCATGTTGTTATATATGTTAAAGGTGTCGCTCTGGACCTATAACATATGATAAGACAAAAAATCCACCAGTTATTTCTGATTTCTATCAAATTTTTAGATTTTGTGTTGTTGTTGTTGTTTGGTATTATCGGCGTTTCATTCTTTTTTAGAATATTTACGCCTTTCACTTTATTTCTTTTTTTTTCTTCTATTTTTGGTACTATTTGTCAATTCATATTCATCTCTTTTTTTTGGATAATATAATCTCAGATCTACTGGTCCATGAAAACCCCTCACCGCAATTGGCACCTTCCTGCCAGACCGGCGCGGTACATTGCGCAATCTTCTCGGCCATCATTGGCCTAGGCAACTCTGGTGCCGGTGAGAGGATTCTGGGGTAGATCTTTTGAGTCTCTTGGGGTTTACCGTCCTCAATCCGTCTTTACTCTTTCTTACCTTTTCTCTTTTAGTATTTTTCCATTTTGTAAAACCTTATTTTTCTATCAAAGTGGGTATCAACATCTTAGGGCATTTGGTTGTCGTGCGATATGTGCCAAAAAAAAAATGTGGATTTAGTAATTCCTTTTTGAATGAAACATGGATTTAGCTTCTTTTGGAATTGAATGGATTTAGCTCCTTTTGGAATGAAACTGTAATAATGTTGTTTACTTTCTTTTCGAAAGGTTATATTTATGTGTGATTTCACTATTATTATTTAAAAGGAAAGGTTTGCTGCTAAATTTGAATAAAATTTCAGTGACTTTATTGAGAAAATATGATTTATTTTTAATTTTTTAGGTACAATAACATGTTTCATTCCAAAAGGAGCTAAATCCACGAAAATAAAAAATAAAAAAATTTAGTAAACATCAGAAAAGCCGAAGGGAAGATTTTTTCTTATCATTATTGGCAGATAATCAGGTCCATGCAGGGTGACACCTTTAACATATATAACAACATGAAGGTATACATGGCTAAAGGGAAAGTGGAGAAATAAAAAAGGCAATTTACTCAGAAGTACCCAAAGTGGATTTGGCTCCTTTTGGAATGAAACTCTTCACATATTATAAAAGGAAGACAAGTAATATAAAAGGAAAAACGAAGGCCCACGTCATTTACATAGAAGGTAGGTGGACAGATAACCTCGATGTTTTTAATCTAATTTCATCTGGGAGATCATTCCACAGCTTTGTTCCTACAAACGAAATACAAAATTGCCCTTGCGTTGTCTCACATATTGGTTGATAGATAGAGTAAGCCACTTTCTTTACACTGTAGAAGTAATCAACTGGGTCATACGACGTACAATACATACACATACACTACTACTAGGTCGAGCGTACTCGCACTACATACACATACAGTATTCGCATATCGCGCTCAAAAACAATAGCGCTACCAGTACCACAGACCATGCAATTATGTGCAGGCCTCGCATACCATAATGTGTACAATATAAATCAGTCAGCGCGCTATAGACATGGTTCGGATATTACTTGCACGCCCATATCCGATCGTCGTCTTGGCGAAAATTCACGGTGTGCTGCCGCTTGACCGAGAGGTGGCGCTATACAATTACACTGAACACGCCTCGAAAGTAAAATTTTTGATAAATAAAATCATTTGCAGTCGAACAGGTTTTTTGCATATAAATTCACTCTAATGTAATATTTCGGATTTATATCTTCAATGATGCATTCTTAGACATTTATTGTATGTTTTTTATGTTTAGATCATAGTTTCGTTCGCTAATGTGAGTATTGACCAACACTCAACTATTCCTTTAAGCCCTATTCATCTGAATTCAGTTCCCCCCTCTCGCGCGAAGCGCGAAAGCTTTGACGTTTCCTCAAATTATTACAGAAAGAACACGATTTGTTGTACCGTTTTCGACTTTTAATAAGCCCTATTTGTCTGAATTAAGTTTCCCATTCTCGCGCGAAGTGCGGAAGCTTTGACGTTTCATTAAATTATGAGAAAAAGCAGACGATTCGGTGTACTGTTCTTGACTCTTAATCCTTATCTGAATGAAGCTTCCCGCGCCAAAGTTTTGACGTTTCATTAAATAATTAGAGAAAGAATACGATTCGTCGTACCGTTTTCGACTCTTAATAAGCCCTATTCATCTGAATTCAGTTTCCCCCTCCCGCGCGACTCGCGAAAGCTTTGACGTTTCCTTAAATTATAAGAGAAAGAAGACGATTCGCTGTACCGATCTCGACTCGTTTAAATGAAGTTTTCTCCTTCCGCGTTTGGCGTTTCATCACAATATACGGAAAGGAAGACGATTCCTCGTACCGTTTTCGAATTTTATTAAGCCCTTTTCGTCTGAATTCAGTTTTCCCCTCTCGCGCGGAGCGCGAAAGCTGTTACGTTTCCTCAAATTATTAGAGAAAGACCACGATTCGTTGTACCGTTTTCGACTTTTAATAAGCCCTATTTGTCACGCGAAGCGCGGAAGCTTTGACGTTTCATTAAATTATGAGAAAAAGCAGACGATTCGGTGTACTGTTCTCGACTCTTAATCCTTATCTAAATGAAGCTTCCCGCGCGGAAGTTTTGACGTTTCATTGAATTATTAGAGAAAGAAGACGATTTTGTCGTACCGTTGTGGACTCTTAAACCTTGTTTGAATTTAGTTTCCCCTTAAAATTTTAAACCTCTGATTTCTTTAGTTGATATTATATGAAAGTGAAACTTCGAGAAAATACGGGTATTGTAGTTGTAGTCACTCTCGAAGTTGTCACAGCGGATAAGAAGTTACAGTTCGTAGGGAAAAAAACTTGTCGGCCGACCGACAATATACATCTCACCGACTTCAAACTTCTGCATTGATATAGTACACAAGGATCGAGCAAGAATACCGACGCAGCTTAACCGACACAGCAACATATTTACTCGTGTCTTTCTTGCTCCCTCGACGAGACGACTCTACCCAACAGCCCTCTTCTCTCTTTTACTCTCACTCCTCCTCTCTCAGACTCTTACTTTCCCTCTCTCTCCTCTCTTTCACCCCCCGTTTCTTTTGTTTCCCTTTCATTTGTTTTCTTCTCTTTTTCTTTTCTTTCTTATTTTTCTTTTCCTTTCTTTCCTCTCCTCCCTCTCTTTCTTTTTTCTCTTTATTTTTTCTCTTTTCTTTCCTTTCTTTTCCTTTCTTTCTTCCTTTTCTTTTCCTTTCTTTTTTTCTTTTCCTTTTCTTTTTTCTTTTCTTTCCCTTTCCCTCTCTTTTTTTCCGTCTCTTTTTTTCCCTTTCTTTTTTTCCCTCCCCCTTTTCTCTTTTTCCTGACGGCAGCGCAATTTTACCGACAATATCCTGACAGGTGGGGGTGTCGCACCCCCCACACCCCCCTTTGGCGACGCCCCTGTCCCGACCGGGATGCCACAGAAACAACTTTGGGTAATATCGAAGAAAAAATTGATGGATTCGTAAACAAATGTAAAAACTAACATGATTACTCCCAAAATGGGCCAGATCCATGCAGTGTAACGCAGAGTGTTATAATTATCTTGGTTTAAAAAAAATGTAGGCTAAAAATGGACCCAGTCCGTATTAGTGTGTATAACAGAGGTTTTCAAGATTGCCTGTCCAGTGAGCTACAATGAAGAGTTTCTTTTGAAATTAAGCAGTTTCTTGGGTTTGCAACGATTGTGAATACGTACTGGACATCTCAACAGGCAAGTTGTTAAATATATGCATAGCAATAACATATACGTGCCTATGGTAACTCATGAATACCCTCTTCCTGCAGGCCTTGTAAATTATTATCATCATTACCCTAACATTACCGGGACCCGTTTAATGCACCTGCATGTGTTAGGCCCATGTGTAGATGGAGACAGTACA